AAACGAACAACATTCCTTTCTCTTTCAAAAAAAAAAAAAACAACATTCCTTTCTTCTTCCTCTTCACGTCAATATGCTCAAATCACAGAACAGAAACTGAAATCAAGATGGATATATACATTCAAAGGCTAAACATACTACTAAACAGCTAGATCGAGTAACTCTGCTAATGACAATCCTACACCTTGGTAAAATAAAATAAAATAAAAAATAAAAAATAAAAAATGAAACTGAACAACAAATATACAGCTCACTAATCTTCTTCTATATTGCCTTTAATTGAATCAGGTCAAGAAAAACAGCTGATGAAGATCAAAAGTCCAGATCAGCTGGCAGCATTGCGACTTTGTTCCTCCTCGTGTGTACCGTACGTGTATGATACAATCATTTCATTTGTACAGCTTTGGTTGACTAAATGCTGTAAGCAGAAATGGTCAATACAAGTGCCATTTACAGGGAAGATCTGAACCTTTCTCAAGCCTCAATTAAAACCAAAGATTTGTTTTGTTCAAATCTTCATTTCCGACGTGGACTCAGCAGCAGCACTTCGCCTTCCCTACCCAGCTTAGGCATGTGATCCGCTGTATTTAAGCTCAACTGCACATATGCAACAAAAATTTAAAGGCATCAGAAGTTACTATCAACACTCACTACTCGACATTTTTTAATGATTAGTCAATGACATTCTATAAAACACTGTTTAAAGCTTGATCAGAAAGAAGTAAAGAAAGCAATATCATGCCATAAATGAGCCTTCAAGAGTTCAAGATTGATCGAATAATACACAGCTTTTCACCAGCTGTGACGAGTTCAATGTGATTCAAGTATTGGTGTCATATTAATGTGGGATTTACAATAGGCGTCTATTCACTGCCTTGCCATTTTGCCAATACCTTCATCAAACTTGTACATGAGTTGATTTCATGTTCAGTGCACTGGAGAAGTAAATAAGTAGAGCGTACAAGTCAAAGAGAAAAGGTATATCCTTTTAAAGGATTGTGGCAAAAGACCATTGAGGGGAAAGAGAATGGAGTCCATATGTAGGCATTGGCAACGGGATAACTAACCTATGGATTGAATATCTCATGAAAGAGGTTCAATTGGTAAGAGCAAAGCGGGAGGGTGAATGGGATTAGAAGAATTATCCGTATCTCTTGGGGGGTAATCCCTAGTTTCATTCCTACTATAATGGTGCACATCACTTCGACAGCTAGAGGAGCTTAGCTCTGAATGCGTTCAAAGATGAGTTCTAAAGGTTATTACTCACAGAATATGAGAAGCCTTATGCATGACCTTATAGTGAACATCTCTCAAAAACAATGCCTCCTCCTACATTTCTCCCTGGTCAGTCCCTTCAGGGTAATTCTCTATTAAGTGCTGGCACAAACCAGCAGTTATTTTATTTTATTTCATTTACTAAAATCAAAATCCACACCACCAGGAATACACATCCTTTCAATGAAACTGTCACAATATGGCTTCAACTTACAGCAGGATCTGTGAAGATTATCAACTGTCTGTCAGCAGTAGATACCAAAAGGTTTGTGTTGTCCTTGTTCAGAGCCATAGCTGTAATATCTTGCCCGGCAGCAAGCTTCTTGATGTAAAAGACCTGCAAACCAATACAAATATTATAAATAAAAGAATATTGAAAGCAGGGCAGAGCAGTGAATGGTTCCAATCATAAACTAAAGGTGGATGATGTAGTGTGGATTGTATCAACTACATGGTAGTCTCCCCAGATTTCACAAGATATGAAAAAGTGTGACTATCTAAATGAATATAGTATCCCTGCACTTCCAAAGAAAGGAAGAAGGACGTGGAAATAACTTTTTGATAAATTTGGCACTGAGGGAAGACAGACATTAACCTTTAGACTATAAAGATCAATGAAGCATATTGAAGGAAGAGAAATATCCAGTGTATTTCCCTCATTAGTGTCATGTTTGTCGTCATTAAAACATTCTATCCCTGGTGTTGCGAACTTTGGCGACTTGATACTGTCAGGAAATCCATCATTATCATTCAAAGATGGGTTCAATCCAATTAAAGCATTCTGTCCATCAGCAGAAACCTCCATACAGCCAACAGTACAGGAGATAGAAAGATTTGTCCTAGCAATAAGAATTCCATTAAGATTAAAGGTGCTAAGAGTTTTAAGAGATCTGTTCCAAGCCAGTATAATCCCATTAGATGACAGGCAGACAGCATGAGCCTCCACAGAAACTAGTCTTCTGACTAATCTGCCCTTTTTTATTGAATGCAACAGGACATCTGATGAGTTGGAACATGAGACAACAATTCCTACATCTGTACTGATGCAGCAGCATGATATTTCTCCAAAATGGCCCCTTAGCACATGTATGGGACCCTCAATTCGATGCCTCCTTCTGTCAAAAGGGCTTTTTGCTGTCATATTATCAGCAGTAGGTGTTGTACTAGAGTCAGAGGAAACCCTTGATGTGCTAACTGAGTATGATGTTGACGCCCTATATATTCTCCAAAGTAAAACTGTTGCATCTCGAGATCCTGTCACAAGATACTTGCTATCAGGAGAAGTAGCCAGGCATGTTACAGGAGCACAATGCCACCTTGCTATTTCCAAAGTCTTAGCCGTATCTGCTGATATCAGCCTGACACTGTTATCAGCATGCCCACCTGGATACACTCTCATAAGTTAGATGTAGGTTCAAGACGAGTAATAAAGCCCAAGAGTATAAAGTAGAATAGAAATTTTATAGTTCAGATACAAGTCAGCAACCATAAGAGGCCTCAAATGCATACTGTTCTCAGAAGCTTGTGGTAGTAAAACACAGACAAAATATATGCGCATACACACATAAAACAGTTAACTGCTAGGAAATAATATAGAGAACGGGCATCCATGTCAACCCAAACCCCTTTTGCAAGTTATAAAGATATCAAAATCAGTTTATGATTGTTGAATATTAGGAAAGTTGTCTTACTTTCCTATTCTTATTAGTTGTTTCCTAGACTAATTTAGTATCTAGTTTAGTATATATAGAGGTCCATTGAAGTATAGAACATATATACAGAGAGACAATCTATTGTAATCTTTCACTATAATATATTCTCTTTATTCTCTTGTTCTTTGGTTCTCACGTATTTTGCTTCCGCCTAATTGGCGGGTGGTGGTTATTCTCCACCCGCCAGACCTATCAATCCCTCAATTTCAACAATGATCCATTAGGCAAGGTGCATAGGATGGTTATATTACTAAATTAATTAACTGAATGCTCTTCAACATTAGAAATTCGTACCAGTGATGATGTCCTGGTCAACAGTAATGGAAACTGTGGCAGAGCTTCTAATTCCAGAAGCTGGGAACGCCAGGGTCTGGGGAAAATGCAAATCTTCTTGGCCAGAGTCAGCTGGCCCCTTGAACATTCGCTTGAGTGTTCCACTGGCAGGACTGGAACAGGATTTTCCATGTTGAAAAACAAAAGGTGCGCCCTGACCATCAGGTGTGTTTGGTTGCCATTTATATTGTGCTACATGTGCAGCTGGAGCATTTATATCAACAATTACAAGAGACTCTGAAGATGCATGGATTGCAGCAGCAGGTAGGTTGCAGCGTTCAGGGTGAGGAACAGCATATGGCTTAACAACAGTGGGATTCCTGAATATAGTCTGTCAAACATGAATACAGCTGAGATTTGTGAGACAAAACATTTACAGGCAAAGAATCCGATAACCCCAAAAAAGGTAAGAAAGCATCTCTGCTTGAAAGGGGGTGAAATTCTTTCCTCTCATCAAGTTATCCATAAGCACCACACGAGCGTGCACAAGGTTTATTTGTATTGAATGATTTATTCCACCTTAAAGCTTAAGCTATTAGTGAAGATTCACATTCATTACTTTATATTATGCAAAGGTGATACATGTTGGGGCCAAGATTATTTCGGAAGTCTTATTTTATTACCATTACATTACATAGTTTAGATATTAAGAAAATACTAAAAAGTTATTTAGAAACTACTAAATACTTATTTAGAAATTACTAAATAGTTATTTAACTTATTACTCTTAGTCTTTGAATTAGTTTAGGTAGTTTAATTATTTGGAAACTACCAAATAATTAATCATTCTTAGTTCAGGAATCTTTGACATCAGCCCTATAAAAGGAAGTGTTATTTAGAATAAAGGCGAGCAGAAATTCAAACCAAAAAAGAGTAAGGGAATTTTGGGTCTCAACTCTCAAGCAAACCCAGCATTTTCTTCATTTCCTTTTCCAACAACTTTTCTTTGTTCTTTTGCTTTATGTTTCCATGCCCATGACGGAAGCATATAACAAAAGGCCAAGTACTTTCTGATGGACAAACACATTATTGCGATGATGGGAAACATGCACATTATTGTGATGATGGGAAACATGCAAGATTCCACAGCAAGTCCTTGAGCCTGCTCTATTACAGACATTGAATGATATATTCAACATCAACTAAAAGCTTGGGGGTGTTAGTAAAGATATATATTTCTCAATTTATATTTATCCCTCAACAATTTGAACACAGAATATATCTTGAATGGAAAATGTATAGAATTAATTTAGCAAGTAATTATACATAGAACCAATGAGGTCTATGGAACAGGCCAAAGACTCACTTTCCTTTAGCTCCTTTCGTAGCAAACCATGAAATGAAGCACTGTTCATTTGGCCAAATGTTACTAGGAATAGGGCTTGGTGTAGTAGAAAAGTACTGATGAATAGGTTAGATTTGGAGAGCTTCAGAGTAACAGAGAGGTAGAGAGGGGCTGGTGTAGCCTGGAGGGGTGTTGAGTGAGGGATACACAAGGGATCAACTCACTGGTGACTCCATTGTGTAATGAGTAGGGGTCACCTCACCTGACCACAGTCAATTTGTAATAAGAAAGTCTTTTATTTCTTATATTAATTTTTAATTTACATATAGACAAATTTACTAAATCTACCCAACTGAAAATTTGAAAATTTTGTATTTTGAGTTGGATAATGATAACTTGATTAAACAAAACAAATGGGCAAGAAAGGAAGGATTTATAAGGATTAATTAAATTAGTAAACAAGTTCTAAAAAACAAAACAAAGAAAATTCAAACAACCTTTTTAAACTGCCATATGTATCCAAAAGAATTGAAGATATTACTGATTTTACCACACTATGTGAGTTCTTTCATTCAAAGGGAAATGAACACCAAACTAATGAGAAACTAAATGAATTTACCTGTACATGAAGAACATCTCTTAGTGGCATTCTTTTCATGTGAGGGGAGTTCAGAAGTTGTGACGGTGTTTGACCAAAATAAGCAATCTGATCTTGTATAGCACGCTGTTGGATCTTTTGATGAAATTTAGCATATATAAGTTACTAGAATGGGTATATGAAGTATGAACAGCAGCAAAATAACCAAAAAATCTTAAGATACAAAGAGAGCAACATACTGGGTCTGATATTTTGTCAATATCCACAGTCCCTTCGTAGGTGGCATAGAAGAAAACATTGTTTGCCAAAATAGCTTCTTTACCACGTTGCTTATACCTGAATATTCCCCAAAATTTGTATTAAGAAATCAGCAATTAGGCATTTAGGCTACACTATAAAATACTTGTGGGAGTATAAAATAAACTGCAACATGTAAGGTAAAATGGGCACCAGAGTGGATGGACCGTACCCAAATATGAGATCGATCCATTCATGCAAATGTGCTGAGACATGCTCACTCTCAAGTGCCATCCGATGCTTATGTATGAAATCAACAGGGTTTTCAGCCCAAGGAGGAAGTCGTACAGTGTCTAAAACAGTGTACAAGATGCAAAATGTGCCAAAATGATTAGTCTAAAAGAAAATAATTGCTCTACTTGATATTGGTTCAGAAAATATCCATTGCATACCAAGCTTTTCTCCTAATTGTGTTGCACCAAAATTAACATAATTCTGCTTGGTGAGTGCCTCTGGAAGATAAAATAGCTCCGGGACCTAGGGACAAAAGCAGAGGAAAAAGAATGCATCACCACACGTAATTGATTCAGTGTGAATACAGTGCAAGAATGTTTAGTGAGTTATGCCCATAATGGCATGTAAAACAAAGTTAAAACCTCCACCGAAAGTTGCATGAGAAACAGAAATACTTTGTAGTAACTTTTTTGTAGTAATATAGATTTACCAATTCCTTGACATCAGTAATGTCCTCAAGAACTCCTTTCCATGTAGCAGCAATATCTGAAAACATTGTGTCTGCATGATCAAATTTGCCAACTTGTAGCTGAATTGATAAAGTAGTAAAGGGTTCCACCCTGATGAGATAATACAGTACCTGTTACAGCACCATTAATCATATCAAAGAATGAGTATAAAAGTTTGTGCAGTTGTCCATTATTTGCAACTAATTGACAACAATTTAAGATACTAAAAGAGAGAGAGAGAGAGAGAGAGGGAAAATAAAAAAGAGCCAAATGCATGCATCTAATAAATATTATTAGACAACAAGCTAATTAAAATGCATCATTAACAAAAATATAATGGTACCAAGAGTATCCAATGTTTCTAAACAAAGCTAAAGCAGCTAAGAGCCATACGAAGCCTTAAGAAGGGAGAAAAATAAAAGAAAATAGAAAAGGAAACATGAAAGGAACAGAACTTGTCATAATTAACTTATGTAAAAAACCTATAATAGTAGTGAATGAGACATCACAACACTTACTGATCCAACACTCGAATAATGCGAGCCATAATGGACAGCTTCATCAGAACTCTTTAGTCTATTAGCTTTTAGTGCGCCAACAGGCTGCCAAAAAAACATAGTTTCACATGTCAGCTAAGAGACAGGAGCATGTAATGATTTGAGAAACAAGGAATTATCAGTAATGCCACCTTTGAAAGGTCCCGGTAAGAAGCAGGATTGGTAAGATCCAAGGTGCTCGAACTGTAATCAGATAGAACCCATGGAAAAACATGATACTGCAAGACAGAATGGAATTAGAAACCTGAAAATAGGACTTGTTTCCGTCAGGTGAGTCTAAACAAACCTACAAGGCCTTTTTTCTTGCTATACATGGACACTGCAATGTCATTCTGCTCTACCAAAGACAACATCTTCAATAACTTTGAGATAATTTCCTTCTTGCATAGCCTAATTCCATCACATCACAACATCTAACAGGGCGTCTAGAGGTCTTTTACTCCCATGCCCATATCATCTCAAACACACTTCGGCACTTTATCCAGAATAGAAGTCACATTGAGTTTTTTCGGGATAATACTAGATGCATACAAAGTTTTGCACACACTTACATGGTTTAGCTTGATTAATTGCAGTGGGTGGATCAGTTTACAAATGGCCAACGAATATAAACGGTTGTCATGCCTTATTAGCTTGTGCAAATGGGCCAAACCATACTGGAAAGATTGAATCCGATCAATAAGTTAGTCTAATTCATAATCTTATAAACCCATATGTTTCTCTCTCATTTTTCAATGTGGGACTCTTCACAATAGCATTACCAAACTTCTAGTGAACATCCTTGTGCCCGTAATAATCATTGTTGTTTCCCAACACACCAAACCATATGGCATGAAAGCCCTACAACAATCGAACTAATATTTTGGGTAATACATTTTTCAAGAAATATACCTGTGTAATGTCATTATAACTGCGTCCAGCCAATGTGTTAAGTTGCATTAAATATTCAAAGTTGCTAATCTGCAACCAAGGAAAAAGAAAGGAAAAAATACCCATCATCATTTCTCAATCCATTAAAAAGCAAGGAAAATTAGGAAAACATAGAACAAAAGCATAAAAAACTCAATACAATTGACCGACAATATGCAATTGGAAAACATACCTCCCGCCGAGCCCACTGTTCCATGAGTTGTGTTCTTATTAAGAGTTCGTCAGGTCTCTGCAAGACAGCAATCAGCAAAAGAAGCGATGGAGTATTAGGTAAATAGTGAAGTCTGAAGAGGGTGTCAATCAAGGACTAAAGTGTTTATGCTCTATGATTCTGTCATTCTGCACAAGAGTTCATGCATTTAATATTTGGAATCTCTATAGATTAGGCAGTCTTACGGATTTAGGTAGGTAGGCATATGGAAACTTGTTTCCTATTCGTAGTCTTCTAGCACCTATTTATAGGGCTTTGTATCTCTTTTCTATAAGACAGTATACGACAACACATTCAGAAAAAAAAAAAAAAAAAAAAGAGACAACACAATGGTCCAAACCAAGTCCAGATCCGAGGCAAACGGACTTAGGCTCACACGCTAGTCAGAACACGGAGCGAAAGGCTCTGATACCATGTTATGGAAGTAAAGAGAAGATTTCTGAATATTAAATATATTCCATAACAGAGTACATGAATGTTTATTTTCCAATTATTGTAATTTGGCAAAGCACAAATGTGTTGATTGGCTAGAGGGACTTGGGGGGATTGGATTGTCCCCACCTTGATTGGTTCAAAGGGGAGGTGAGGGATTTCCGGATTTGATGATTGGCCACCACTTAATCCCATAAAACTTAGGATAAAATAAAGGGAAGGAGACTAATAATCCCCCTTTGAACCAATAATTCCCTAAGTTTATTCAAAAGCACAAAGGATAGAGACCAAGTAAAATAGGAAAGAACCTGAGTTGCCAGGTAAATATTATTCAAGTGAGGAGGACGAGTTTGCACAATAGCTTGATATGCATTTCTTCTTGCCTCTGAATTCTGGAGTATGCATAAAGACAGATCAGCTAACATAGGTAAAAATAAATAAATAAATAAATAAAAGCAGGGGCCAGAACAGAACATATATGCATATGGCAGAACATAATACCCCAAAATCAAAGAAGAAGTTTGACCGGTCAATCATAAATAATTCCAATGCACTTCTCCTCAAAAGGTACCTTTAAGAAAATTAAGTAGCATCAATTAGAAATATGTTCAAAAGTGAAGTAGAGACATATTGGGCAATGTTCACATTAAGAAATAGCTTATACTATACTCTTGTGCTAACAAGGCCAGATATAAGAAAATGGAGATGAAGAAGTGCATGGTGTAAAAAAAACAAGGAATGGATAATAATTTGACCACTTATCCATCTCAAATTACATAAGGCTGCTTCACATGAAATCTGGTTCCAAAGGGATCCACCACACAAACTTTTTCAACAAAACCAAGATATACTCAGAAAGTTGGAAGTAATCACTACATGACAGAGATTGTAGGGTTCCAATGGGGAATTCAAGACAGTCAGAGCCACATACGGCTTCAAAATCCTTAAGAAGGCAGGACAGGAAACAAACCACAAGAAAATTTCCTTTTCTGGAGTACACACAGAGCTCACTTTGAGAGGTATCAAAACAAAAAGTCCCATTCAAATGATTCTGAACTCTTAACTTAAAAGGATAGACAGATGCACCACCACCAAACATACTCAAAGGGATAACATAAGCCTTCTGTCCTCCAAGCCTTGCAAAGTCTTTCATAAACTTGTACACTAGTTGCATATTGCTTTTATATATATTGAAAGAATATTAAAAAATCCCAAAGTAGTACAAAAATAACTCAACAAGGGGTTCTTCTAAAGATATCATCTACATCTCCTCCGGACCAGATAATGCATATACCCATGTCTTTGATTAGGGATGGGGAGATTTCCAACCAGCGCTAGCTAGCCAACAAGATCGCGAGCGTGGTGGGAAGTGTAGAAAGTATTGGAAAATAGTATTTCCTTGGCACATAAGTTGCACAATAAAAACAGGATATCTGTGTTTTTCAGCGGAAATATGCACTATATATACTTAAGGAGACAAGTATGTCAGACTGCAAATCAGTTAACACACCTATGGGTCCCATGTTGAGCTTTTATGAGGATGGTGGGAGCCTTTATTTGATCTTGGTAGATATTGGAGCCTTGGAGGCTAGTAGGGAAGCTACTGGTACTTGACACTGTGACAGTCACACAGTTGATAGAATTTTAATTTTAAGATATATAAAAAGGCCACGAGGTAACTGTCTGTTATATAAGAATCATGGATATACAAAGATTGTCAGTTATACAAATACAGACTAGGCTGGATGTCTTTGGATAAGAAGCCAACATCAAACAGATTTCATTTTGGTGACAATTTGATATCTTGGAAAGTAAGAAACACGATGCAGTTGCACGCTCAAGCACAGAGCCCAAATATTGAGCAATGGAACTTGGAGCATGTGAGCTGATTCAGGTTAAACATCTCCTTAGGAACTTCAATTTTGCAAGCTTGGATCTATGAAGTTGGTGTTTGATAATTAGGCAGCACTGCACATTGCATCCAATCCAGTTTATTATGAAAGAAGCAGACATATTGAATATTTTCACTTTATACAAGAAAACATTGCTTCCGGAGACACCATTACTTCATTAGTGGCTCAATAAAATCACTTAGAGGGCCCAGGGTCGAGTACATTTGTAACAATCTTGGAGCATACAATTTTATACTCCAGCTTGAGGGGAAGTGTTGAAAATAAATGTATTAACTGTCCAATTCTCTCTTTAGTTTCCCAGGAGTACACCTTGGAAATACTCAGCGACGTTGAGCAGACATTATAATTAATATGACTGCTCTATGTCTGCTAAGATGGCTATATACATTGTACTCTGCTTCATTCAAATATCAATTTATAAACACTTCCTTTCTCTTTTAAGGGGAACAAACTTACTAAAATAGTCAGCCAGGGCCATGATTAATATAACTTATGAAAGGAGATAGCCATTATGTTATTTTCTGCAGATAAAGTGGTCAAGGGGTACTTGGGTTGGAAGCAGCATAACAAAGAAGCAATTCCATTTGGGAAACCTTAAAATGCACATGGGCAGTCTACCAATTGGTAAAACACTTCAAAAATGGAAGTCATTCCTGCATTCTCCCTTTCAAAGAAAGCTTGAGGAAAGGTAATGGAAGGAGGACAAGATGAACTTTGTTTTGCAAGCATGATAATTGGAAGGTAGTGTTAGAAAAATAAAGAGTTAGGTTTATCTATAGGGTTGTGTCTGTTTATGAATAGGTGTCAGTTATGGATAGTTACTTACAGTTATGTGTTTGTATATATATATGTATATGTACTATGTTTCTTTGTTAGAAACACAGACATATAATCCAAAATCATACATTATCTATACATTTTTCATTCCTTGATTCTTCATTATTGCTTCCGCCTAACTGGCGGGTGGTGTTATTCTCCACCCGCCAGGCCATTCCATCCTTCCAAATTCAACATGGTATCAGAGCCTACTTTCCTAGGGTATTTCCAAACATTAAAATTGTATTTTTCAGTCGCATGAACAGTAAAGTTATTGTTCACGCGAAACCCTAATTTTTCCAAATCACTTGTTTTTGGTGAGTTTTTTTGTGAAATTGGTGTTACCCATCGCTTCTAAAGTTTCCGGCGAGCCTAACCCAGCAAGCCACATCGCCGCCGCCATTGCCGGACCTCCGATCTCACGCGCCGGCGTGTGTGGCCACCTCCGGCGAAATTTTCAAGATATCTCCGCCAGGCCTCTGCGACTCCATCTGTGTATTCTTCCTTGTGATGTATTTCTCCGGTGAAAATTTCAAACTATTGTTTTGCCCTTCTTTGGTGAAGTTTGAAGGCTTTTTGGATTTGTTGCCAAACTTCTTTCCGGGGTGCTTTTGGTATAACCGTATTTGTTTCTTTATTTTCGGTATACCATATTTATTCCCTAGGGTTTTCAAGTTTGGTCCTTTTTATTTCTGGAAGCCTTTTTGTTATTCACTTATCCTATAAGAGGGTGTAAACAACAACCATGTGGCGTTCTCGGTATTCATACTTTATTCCTTGGGTATATTTGTCATTACTATGGGCTCTACTACATCCCCTTTGCTGCTCATGATTTGTTTGCTCTGCCATTCTTGATGAAGATTGTTGATTGGCAAATCCTAGAGTGCTTATGTTGCTGTGAGGGTGTTCGTATTAATCTTCACCCTTGGTGCCTTCATTCCCGAGGTTGTTTGTGACAAGCTTCGCCCCTGGTGCCTTCATTCCCAAGGGTTGTGTATAGCATTGTTGTTCCGAAGCCATCCAGCACTGTTATTCTCTAGCTGCATTTAATCTTCATTTGTAATTTAAAGTAAGGTAGAGTGTATGTTTTAATACAAGCTTAGAACTTCCAGATGTTCAAGCTTGAGGGGGAGTGTGAAAAATAAAGAGTAAGGTTTATCTATAGGGCCGTTTGTTTATGAATAGGTGTCAGTTCTTACTTACAGTTATGTGTATGTATATATATATATGTACTATGTTTCTTTGTTAGAAACACAGACAGATAATACAAAATCATACATTATCCATACATTTTCCATTCCTTGATTCTTCATTATTGCTTCCGCCTAACTGGCGGGTGGTGTTATTCTCCACCCGCCAGGCCATTCCATCTTCCAAATTCAACACTCCCTTTCAAAGAAAGCTTGAGGAAAGGTAATGGAAGAAGGACAAGATGAACTTTGTTTTGCAAGCATGATAATCAGAAGGTAATGGTACACAAGGTGTGCTAACTTCAGGCATTGTCTTCTTGGACAGGATTTTATCATTGAGGGTTAGAAGAACAGAAAAGTGTTGCTCTTAGCAAATAAATCATTTATTACCATAGCGATAAAATAGAAACTAAGAAATTTATTTTTCTCTCACCTTCTGCTATATATCTCACGAAGGTAAGAGATTGGCCAGCTTCGATCCTTTTCTTGTACCCTATCCTTAGTTATGTGGTCAAGAATATTGCACTCAGCATTATCAATGATAAAATTGATTCTTCTTGTTGTAATCTGACAAACAAAAAGTTTTTACATGAATCCTCACAAAAGTAATTTGTACATTTACAAATAACATGATGTAAATTTCAGAACTAGTTAATATTCTATTTCTCCTAATACTATTAAATCCTTGGTAGCATAACAATCGTATAAAAACAACAACAACAACAACAACAACAACAATAATAATAATAATATATGTACAGGCAACTACTTTCATTCCAAAAGGACAAATCCTTCAAGGAACAAAAAGGTTGACTAGAAAATTTAGAACTAATAACTGTTCTTGCACTGCTAATTTCTGCTGATTCTAGTGTTTACAGTTTAGAGTATAAAAGTCTTCCTACACAGTCCAACAAAAGTAAAAAAGTTTTGAACATCTTAAGACCAAGATTAAAGATAACTGAGGGGAAATAAAAGCAAAGATCCAACTAAAGCTATTAACAAACTAGTCAGCTCAGCTTGTGTATTCATTTTATAATTAAACAAACTGAAGCCAAGGTTCATTTTGTAAATGAGCCAAGCTTCTCTATGTTCAAATTAGGCTCATTAAGGGCTTAAAACTGTAATAGTTATAAACAAAATACAGAGTAAACAAAATGCGGAGTAATAGTTTTACTTTCACTATTTACCAAAAATGTCACCACCACTTTCTATTTATTACAGTAGTCGACATTCTTACTATTTGGCATTAGAGAATTTCCATAATATGTTAATATTTTTATATTTTTAAGAGGAATTGGAAAATATTTATAATTCTTAATCAGTTAATCCTAACCCTCTCTCTTCCTCTTTGATATTTCTCTCCATTGTCTTCAAAGCTTCTCTACTAAATGTATAACGCTTGAAGGTTTGTTGACTAGACACTTAATTTTTAAAAATATGGCTGATTTCAATTTTCAAGGCTTTATAGATGCAAGTAGTTAATCAAGCCTAATGAGCCAACATGCCCGGAAAATAAGCCAAGCATGTACCCAGCTCATACACCTAGCAGGATTTGTCAAGCCAGGCCAAGCATATTTTTACACTTGATTGGTAAACAAGTTGGAACATGTCAAATTGATTACTAAACAAGCAAAGCTCAAAACAAACCAGTCTCCATTTGGCTCAACACATTATAGCTCAAAATGCAACCAATTAGACTAGGTCAGTAACATAGCTTCTGGTGAAACAAGATGATATAAAGTGAAAAGGTGATAGATGCTTCAAAAGCCTTGCTGAAATAATTAGAGATCAAATCTCACTACACTTCTGAGAATACAACCCCCCCCCCCCCCACCCACCCCACCCACCCAAAAAAAAAAAATTTCTATGCCATAAATAACAACTCAACAGTTGGAAACATGATACTAATCTAGGAGAATAATTGAGAATATTGGGTAGCTAAACAATTACAAGCACATGAGTTTTGTTACCAGATGCTTTCAACATTTGCAACTATTCCCCAACAGTCAAACCTAACTTCATTTTCCATTTCCATTAATTGTCAACTTTGTCCTTAAGGAAATGTTCAAGTATTTATAGGTAGTATCTTATGCAGATTTCAAATGGTCTATAAAAATAGAATTGAAGACACTATTTTTTAAAATCTATAAATGTGGAAATATTAGAATTGATATGTGAAAATATTTGATTGATATGCATATATTCTTAGGATCTGTAATTAGTGATATGATTTTATTCTTTCCTAGTTTAGTGATTCTTTTTATTTACATTCCCTGATTATAGGATTCTCTTCCCTATAATCAATCTTCTTCTTTGTATAAATTAGGGCTTGTATTTTCCAATTGAAATGAAGAACTATTCAGAATTTCTTACATGGTATCAGAGCCTGACTCTAAACCCCTAGCTCTTCTCTATCCTCCCTCACCAAATCTCTCCAGCAACTATGTCTAAACCTATTGAAACCCTTCCAGTTGATTCCTCACCGCTAGATGGGTCATCACATCCTTCTCACTCGACTTTCACAAATCATCTTAACCTTCCTCAAGTCCTTGCTTACCGTGAATTTTCCAGCAAGTCTCACGATAATGTGGCTGCAACCTCCGAAACATCACCCAATGAAGTCAGTCCTTTCTCAAAAATTAAGCTTGAGGCGCTGCAAAAGCTTTTTGGGCAGATATCTGTTGCACAACAGTCAATCCCACCTTTCGCTGAAGCACATGTTAGTATGATGAGTCATCAAGGTACCACTTCTCACGCATTTGCTGCAAATTCAAATAACACAAGTCCTTGGATTGTGGATTCCGGGGCATCCGACCATATGTCAGGTGATTTAAAGGTTTTTCATACATTCAAACCTTGTACCAATCCCACCACGATCAGAATTGCTGATGGATCCCTCTCTAACGTGATAGGAACAGGATCTGTCAAATTAACTGATGAACTTTTTCTTTCATCTGTTCTCTTTGTTCCTAAATTAAGTTGCAACCTTCTTTCCATCAGTAAACTCACTAGAGACATGAATTGTGTAACTAAATTCTATCCTAAGCTTTGTGAATTTCAGGTTGTGGGCTCGGAGAAGGTGATTGGCAGTGCTGAAATTTGCGATGGTCTCTATATTCTCAAAAACACTCCTGAAAATAAACATTTCCCCAAGTCAAATTATGGTTTCAATTCTGTTTCTGTCTCCAATGAGAGTCTAGTCATGTTGTGGCATTTTCGCCTTGGACATCCAAATTTTGTTTATCTTGAAAAACTGTTTCCTGGTTTATTTATCAATAAAAAACCCAAGTTTTTTCATTGCGAAGTGTGTCAACTTGCAAAACATACTCGAAGCATTTATTCAAGCAATCCTTACAAACCTTCTCAACCTTTTTCGTTGATACATAGTGACATTTGGGGGCCTTCAAGGGTGAAAAATGTTAATGGTTCTAGATGGTTTGTATCCTTCATTGATGACCACACTAGAACCACATGGACTTTCCTCATGAAAGAAAAATCAGAAACTGCATCAATTTTTAAAGCTTTTCATTCCATGATTCAAAATCAGTTCAAACAAAAAGTCAAAGTTTTGAAAACTGATAATGGGACAGAATACTACAACTCAATTCTTGGTCCATACTTGTTAGATCAAGGAATTGTCCATATTAGTTCCTGTGTCAACACCCCTCAGCAAAATGGAGTGGCTGAGAGAAAAAATAGGCATCTCCTTAAAGTCTCTCGGTCCATCATGTTTTCAAATCATGTGCCTAAACACTTTTGGGGGGAAGCTGTACTTACTGCCACTTACCTCATAAACCGTATGCCTAGTAGTGTCTTAAAGTTCAAGACACCACGATCTTTGTTATTACAAGCATTCCCTCACCTCTCAGTTTTTTCCTCGGAATTGCCACTCAAAATTTTTGGTTGTACTGCTTTTGTCCATATCTATGATCACAAAAGAACAAAACTTGACCCCAAATCACACAGATGCATCTTCATTGGGTATTCTAATACTCAAAAGGGGTACAAATGTTACTCTCCAGTCACAAAAAGAGTTTATCATACTTTGGATGTCACTTTTTTTGAACACCAATCATTCTTTCCCAAATCTGGTATTCAGGGGGAGCATTTGAGCGAATATCAACTTTGGGAAACACTTCAAGATAATCAGACTACCTTTCCCTCACCTAATGTCCTACCATACCACCATCAACCTACTCCAACTCAACCTGATTTATCACCTACATCATCCAATTCTCTATTACCTCTTTCATCAGATGTGACTCCAGAAAACATGGTCAATCACCCGCCATCCTCTCTTCCTACAATCAACCCATCTTCGCCTCTAATAAACAACCATCCATCCTCAGAAAACACTCTACCAAATTCACCTCCTCAAGCACCAGAACTCCGTGTTTATAGAAGGAGAAAACTTCAAAATATAGAGGCTAACATGCAAAGCCAGGACTGTTCAAACACACATTCGAGCTTACTTGACCTTGAAAATCATGAAGGTAAGGACTCTATGACCCATGAGTTGGTATCTACTGCTATTGATGATCTTGATTTGCCTATTGCTCAACGAAAGGGTGTTAGAACATGCACTAGTCACCCAATAGAAAGGTATGTTGCTTATGGGAAATTAACTCCTATGTATCGAGCCTTTGTTGCCTCTCTTGATCTTGTCCAGATTCCCACAAACATCTACGAGGCACTAAGAGATCCCAAATGGAAGGTTGCTGTCAATGAGGAAATAAATGCTCTTGAGAAGAATGGTACATGGCGTCTTGTTGAGTTACCTCAAGGAAAACATGCAGTTGGATGTAAGTGGATTTTCACTGTCAAGTATAATTCAGATGGGAGTATCAACAGATTCAAGGCTCGGTTGGTTGCCAAGGGGTTCACTCAATCATATGGTGTTGACTATCAAGAAACCTTTGCTCCTGTTGCCAAACTCAATACAGTAAGAGTTCTGTTATCACTTGCTGTGAATTGTGATTGGCCTTTATATCAGCTGGATGTAAAAAATGCATTCTTAAATGGAGAATTGGAAGAAGAAATTTATATGGAAATTCCACCAGGTTTGAAAAAGAACTCCAATGGACGACTGGTATGCAAACTACAAAAATCTCTCTATGGCTTGAAACAATCACCTCGGGCATGGTTTGATAGGTTTGCAAAGTCAATTGTAAAATTTGGATACACTCAGTGTCAAGCTGATCATACCCTGTTTGTTAAAATCTCTTCAACAGGAAAGCTAGCAATTCTCATTGTCTATGTGGATGACATAATCCTAACTGGAGATGATTCAGGTGAGATTTCAAACCTCAAGAAGTTTCTTGCATCAGAATTTGAGATCAAAGATCTAGGATTCCTCAAATACTTTCTTGGGATGGAGGTAGCTCGATCTAAGGAAGGGATTGTTATATCTCAACGAAAGTACATCCTAGATCTTCTAAACGAAACTGGAATGCTTGGAAGTAAGCCAGCAGATACTCCAATGGACCCTAACTTAAAAACAAATCGGAGTGGGGAACCAATTCCAGTAGAGAGGGGGAGTTATCAAAGATTAGTGGGAAAACTAATTTATCTCTCCCACACTAGACCTGATATTGCTTTCTCTGTTAGTGTTGTAAGTCAACATATGCATAACCCTAATGAGGAGCATTTGGAAGCTGTTTATCGTATTCTAAGGTATCTCAAAATGACACCAGGTCTTGGTTTGCACTTCAGAAAACATGACAACCGAGACCTAGAAGTTTACACGGATTCTAGTTGGGCGGGAGAGTAGACGATCGATTAGTGGTTACTGTACCTATGTATGGGGAAATCTAGTCACTTGGCGCAGCAAAAAACAGTCAGTTGTCTCTCGGAGTAGTGCAGAATCAGAATACCGTGCACTGGCATTAGGTATATGTGAGGGGATGTGGATTAAAAGGTTGTTGAATGAGTTGAAAATTGAAGCTCCTACATCTTTCAAATTGTACAGTGATAGTCAAGCTGCCATCAGCATTGCTAAGAACCCGGTTCATCACGATAGAAGAAAGCACGTTGAAATAGACAGGCACTTCATTTATGAGAAGGTGAATTCGAGGATCATTGAACTCAACTACATTCCTACAAAGAAACAGATTGCTGACATCCTTACGAAGGCTCTACCTAGAAGGAGCTTTGAAGAATTCAATTCCAAGCTGGGCTTGTATAATATATACAACTCAGCTTGAGGGGGAGTGTGGAAATATTAGAATTGATATGTGAAAATATTTGATTGATATGCATATATTCTTAGGATCTGTAATTAGTGATATGATTTTATTCTTTCCTAGTTTAGTGATTCTTTTTATTTACATTCCCTGATTATAGGATTCTCTTCCCTATAATCAATCTTCTTCTTTGTATAAATTAGGGCTTGTATTTTCCAATTGAAATGAAGAACTATTCAGAATTTCTTACAATAAACAAGCCTCAGAATAGAAGTAGATATCCAGAACTCACTTGAAGTGTTCCTCTTAAAATCTTCAAAGGCCTGACCATTGATGATGGAAGCTCAAGGATAATTCTTTCATCCTGTTCACTAGAAACATAACCAAGGGCAACTGCTGGTGGGCTCCACATCATCTCTGGGTCTGGATTAGCGTCATCTGGAAGATCTCGGGATACTGAAGATGCCTGCAGTGACTGCTCAGCAGTCGTCATTGTTCTGTTCTGAATCTCCCCATGGTGGTGTGTTTCATCTAATTCACACTCTAAACGTAAGGTCTCCTCATAATCTTCATCTGCTTCCTCCATCAAGATAGCTTCTTTTATTAAAAGAGAGGCTTTAGATGAACTAATGAGATTAACTTCCTCTAACTTTGGCCCAATTCGACCATAATTTGCAGCGGCACCATAATGATCTGAGCATCGGTGGTTTCTTCTCAAACATCTTCTCATCCTTGAAGAAGTTTCCATGTTGTCTAGCTTCCAGAAAACCTATTAATGATACAATAGTTGATGTTTACATCCAAAAGAGGAGGGCAAAACCAATATAAAAAACACATATACATTTAGGCAACTCAAGGAATAGAGCAAAATACATGCTGGGAATTGTTTAGACGATAACCCAACGGGCCAAAAAGACATTTAATCTCTATCAAACTGTGGATAAGCTTTCGCCACTCGCGTATTCCACAGTACAAGCGATGCTGAGCTATTACATCAGCTTGTGTGCGCCTTTCAACCTGCAATGCATATAAACGTCAAGTGATTATATCTGTATAGATTATTTTAACTTGTGAGTGACAATAGAGAAGGTTGAGCTCCGTGTAAAGGGAAAGTGTATAACCATCAGGTCATGGGGGTTCAAGCTCTAAATGCAACCTCTCTAAAAACAAAGGTAAAGGTATGTACATCATGTATTCCAAACACAGCACGATAGAAAGCCATGCACCCCATGTCATAATTTTTGTGACTGAAAGATAGGATGAAGAGCAAGGAAATGAAGAATACCTCAGATCGTTGCATGTTTCTAGCTAAAGCTAAACTTCCAACCAAGACGGCAATGAATTTGTAGGATAGGGCATTAAAATCTTTCCCGTAGACTGATTTACTATCAACTGTCTGCAAACATTCCATCCACGCAGTTCCCATGGCTTCAGAAACATTCCATCTCTTCACACGCTCCGTGTCACTCTTACTCCTCCTCTGTGCAGAGGTAGCCATAGCCACTGCACTAAGGCCTCTTCCTGAACCAATCTTTGCATTGCGTTCAAGATCTCGAGCAGCAGCCAGTGCAGCTGCTTTTGCAGCAGCTTTGTCCTTTGGAAGAGCTGAAGATTTGCTAGATCCTTCCAAAGGTTTTTGAAAGCTTGAAAAGGTATGAAGCTTAGCTGTTTTCCGCTCAAGCAATGATGAATCACGTCTAAGATGAGTAGGTGGTGCAGGAGGAGGAGTTTCCCCTCCACCAGCACCAGCGGCAATCATTGCCAATGCCATTGCAGCAGGTGGAGATGCAAAAGCAGCAGCCCAGCTTGGGGAGATCATGGCAAGAGCAGACTGGATAGAACCCAACATTGACAGTAACAAGAAAACATATTTTTTTTAGTTAAAAGACAGACAGTAAGAAAGTATTCAACACTACAACATTTAGCAGAGCAAATAGTAAGAATAAAGTTTATTACAGTGCAAAATAGCATTATTTAAATCAACACAAGGTATTAATTGCTAAATTTTCCAACAAAAGCATTAGACACAAAGAACTGCAGTAACTGATCAAGTGAATTCATAAGGGAAAAAAAAAAACAACAACAATAATTAAGAAAACAAGTAGAAATTAGCAGTCACACTTGGAAAGGTGAACAAAACATGATTCCAAGACAAAATCATAACCTTTGAGTGTTATTTGCTTTAGGGAATATCTTTGTCCCAAGAGAAATAATCAACCAAAGCTAGTGGGGGGAGTTTGGTTCAGGTTATATCACATAACCCTGTAATGTGAACATTGGAATGTTATATGCCTTTGATTGGTGTTCAAGGGAATGTGAAATTCCCAAACTTGGTCTTAGTTCATTTTAAGACACATTCATGGGAATCTCATTCAGCCATTCCCCCAAATTTCTTAGGTTATGTGAGATTCCCAGAAATGTTACATTACTTAAAAACATTCCTTGAACCAAACGCCCCCTATAAATTAGGTGCTTTAGGCATTATCTTTTTTCCAATGTGAAGTAATCAACAAAAGCACTAGAATAGTAGAATTAGTGTGAGTAGAGCAGATTATCAACCTCTATTGGCAAGGCCTCTGCAGACAGTGCACGGTCATCAACAACAAGAGGATTCAGACCATCTACAGTAGCAAGTTCATGAATTCCAGCCAAAAGGGGTCTCCACCTCCTTAGAACAGCAACAAATGGAGGTAAAATATCCTCCAGATAATGTTTCCGCAGAGGACGTTGGCCCCTACCAACTGCATGCCACACCTGCAATGCACACAACCATATGATAAAGTGAACTATATTATATGCTTACAGCAACTGATGCAATAATAATATATAAATTTTGATAACAAAGCATCTATCAGAAACTGGTGTAGAGAGCACTCCATGTAGTACTTGCTAAATTAAATAAGTGTGGGTGCAGTAAAATAAAAGCACTCACCTCAGAATATAGAACACATGATGCAACCAAAACTCTTTGCCTCTTGGATTCAGATATTGGCATGTTTAACACAGGTGAAAGCACACTGCACATTATTAATTTGGAATGAGTTGAATCTCAGAGCATTCAATAGGAAACTAGTCAAACAAAAACAACCGAAAGCAACCACATAGAGTGTACTAATATGCAACTCAATAAAACCTTTAAATACCAAAATAGCAATCTCTTAGTCACATTACTATTGAGCATCTCAAACATGCAGTAGGCATTGGAAAGCCATTTATTAGTTTATCTCCTATTATTTTATTAAACATAATTTTAATGCTTATTCTTAAATGACATAAATTCAGGTAGCTGCATCCTCCTGAAGCCAATAACAAAAAAGTGAAGATAAGAGACAAAACTAGCAATTCTGATGTTATCCTAGCTTGTTGGATCACTAAGTGTTAATCCTCGCATAGAAAATTCAAGGGCCCATTTACTTCAGTTTTTCATTTTTTGTTCTCTGTTTTCTAGTTTTCAGTTTTCATTTTAGAAAAGATGCTTACCAACACTCATTTTAAAAATTCAATTTTTTGGAGCTATAATGTTTTTAAAATATAAATTCAAATTTCAAGTGATTTTCTTTAAACCCAATATTTAAAATATTTCCAGATATGTCCAGTTTGAGCAAAATATACATAACTTTTGTTTGCTTGTCTATATGTGAAATTTTTTACATCCGATATCCAAATATAACAACTAAAAATATCCTAACCAATAATCTATTGAGTTCACCTAAAATCAAAATAGTGGTTTAAATATCAAGTTTTAATTCAAATAGTATGAATAATGTCTAACCATAAGTGCATGTAAGTAGGTTAAGTTGATATAAGTAGATGAGAATAGAGAAGATAGATGATGGTGGTAAGTAAGAGAAGATGGTAATAAATGTAGTCATTGTGTTGGAAAGATATGTAAGTAGATAAGGGTGAGGGTGGGTAGGTAGATGGAGGTTAGGAGTGGATAGATAGATAGATAGATAGATAGATAGATAGATAGATAGATAGATAGATAGATAGGTGTGGTGGGTGCAGTAGATCGATAAGTTAGTTAGAAGTTCATAGGTGATGAAAATGGCGATTATAGGTGAAATTGTGTGTTTTTGTATTTGGAAAATTTGTAGAACAAGAAAAAACGTTTTACAATTTTCTGGAAAACTGTTTTCCAATTCTGTTTTCTGCTTTCCATTCTCCAGTTATAAAATTATCCAGAAAACTAGAAAACTGGAAAACTCAACTGTAAGTAAACAGGCCTAGTTTTCCATGATGCAAACAGAAGGTAACACCTTCCAACCAAAAAGTAGATGCAATGATTGTGAGCAACCCAGTAATTGAGATGATGTTAGCAAAATTATTGCTAAAATATTCGGCATGCATATTTTGAAGGCTCTCCACTGGAAAACAATGGCTTAAAAGAGTGGAGCATTGCAAATATTTCATAGTGCCAACTATGAATAGGGAGGAGATATGGGGAGCATCCAAGTATCACACAGGAGAATTTTATAAATATAGAGGGATGGTGACTTATCATGTACCTCCACAACAATGAAGATCGTGGTTTTCTTGACAAGTTAAAAGCATTGGCATCAAAAGATGCAGTACTGCTAGTCTTTTTATGTAAACCCTCTGATGACCCATCATCAGCATTTACATGCCTCCGCAGCATGTGATCCTCGCCATCATCTTCTTCCCTCAATGAAAGAAGTACCATTCGCAGCATACATAAAAATGGTTGGTCACTGTCTAACAACTGGTATAGTGCTGCCATGCCTCCCATTCCAGTACCAGATGCTCCTCCAACACCAAGACCCCCACCAAGTCCAGACTCATCTAATAACAGGGCCTCAAGCATCGCAACTGACTTTTTTATCAAGGGGAGTTCAACCCAATCTCCATTACAGTCTTTTTCCAATGCAGACTTCCAAGTTTCCCAAGAACTACCACCACCACCAAATGTTGTAGCATTTGAGGGTAAGCCAACTCCATACCATAATCGACTCCTGTACTTCCACCCCTCAGCCAAATCTACAACACAGCTTCCATATGATACAAATGCATAAGAAACTGATTGATAAGGTTCAGCAGCTGCTGCTGCAGTAAGCTGATCCATCAAGGATGCAGAAACTTGCCCATTTGTATCAGACATTGAAGCAAGAACCTGTTGAGACCAAGAATGATTTATCACAGTTAAAACCAAGGACAGAGGAGAGAAATCTGAAACATGCATATCAAATTAGATTCAGGAGATTATATCCGATAATCCCCCAACATAATTCATTAATTCTTACATCTGATTGAGAGAGTCAATCATAGATAAAGAGGGGGAAACGGTAAATTCTTGGAGGGGGGAAAACAATAAGTTCTAGGAGCCAATGAAACACAATGCATTGGCCATCAAGTTCATGGATTTGATCATGGGAATGCTGGGAGTTCTAAAACATTATTGAGGTGGGAGAAGTCATATATGTATTTGGATCATGTTAAGAGTCCCAAGCCATGGTTTAGACTAGCTAATTGATTAGATTCAGTCTTTAGTGTGGTTTGGTCCATGTGCATTACAACCCAGTTGAGTGACCTTGGCCCAATCTTAGATTCTAACATGGTATCAAAGCTAGTTCGGTCCACTTTGTGTTCACCCGGTTGTCTGCCCGTGGTATTGGTGGCGTCCAAGCTTCCGTTACAGGGAAAGGTCCAATCTTAAGCTTGTTCGGTCCACTTTGAGTTCACCCTGTTGTCCATGGTATTAGTGGATATTCAGGGGTAGGGTCCAACCCAATTGCAAGTGGTCAACCGGTTAGATTCAAAATGGCATGGTTGTCCACTCGAGGGGGATTTTTAAGAGTCACAGGCCATAGGTTAGACTAGCAAATTTATTAGATTCAATCTTTTAGTGTGGTTTGGCCCATGTGCATTACAACCCAGTTGAGTGACCTTGGCCCAATATTCTAAGAGATCAAAAAATAAAATGCAGCTTTATATACATACTGAGACAACTCCAGTATCAGTAGTTGATGAATTACTGTCTGCTATAGATTCTGAGGGCTCTCCACTAGCTGCAGCTGCAGAGCGATTACCAACAGGCAAAACAACTGAAAGGGGAGTAACAGAACCAGCAGGAAAACGTGAGGAACAGTAAAGTTTGCTTTGCAGCCTTAAATGATCCTCAACAAGCATCAAAATCACAATTGCATTCTCAATCAAGATAACTGAAAGTTGGGCAGCATTCTCTGATGCAGCTTTAGCATTCTTAGGTGACAACCCTTCCGCTGCTACACCAGCAGCTGCCGCAGCAATAAGTTCAGTCTGTTACAAAGAAAAGCTGGCTATATATATTATTGTAATTTCAAAAATAAAACGAAATTACTAACAAGATAAGGAATAGTGGAGCTTTACATTTAAGGATTTGTTTTTCTCTTTACATAGGGGAAAGTAAAGATTTGAGAAGGAATCAATAATTTATGACATCCCAAAGTTACAACTTATTAAAGTATCATCACAACGTTAAAACTGTGCTGTATTTTTCTGTTCAGCATTCACATCACTGGATGCACAATGTTCTTCTCAAGTTTAAAAACACTCTCATCTTTGGTCACACCATTACACCAATATCAAATCAATAGCAAATGAAGTAGAAAAACATTTGAGACATGTAAAGAACTGGTGTTGGCATTACCTGAACCTGCAATTCTCTTGCAGCAAAGTCCAGCAAGCCTCCCAACAGCCTTCTTTTGAAAATTGGTAATGATTCTTCCCGTCTTTGGAAAGTGGAAAGTTCAAAGTCACAAGAGAAAGAAGAAAGTAATCAATGCTTGGAAGAGCTTCCACATAGATATGCAAGTCAGTGTTTAACTACACACTGATGTGGTTACAATGAAAAGTTGATATGTGATGCACAGGCCAGACTCCTTAATTCAGAAGAAACACACAAAGTTAACATGTGCTGGAAGTATCAATTCTGATGAGCTATTAAACAATAAAATATAGAATCTCACTGCATTTTATGGCCCAAAATTTTATAAGTTCTTTCTGAAAGTTAGTTTTCAGAACATACTGGCAAACTCTAACCTTTTCTGTCACATGCCAAACAAAGTTAAAAAAATTTCCTACATTAAATCGAGGTTAGTTCTGTCTCTTCTTTTTTTTCCGTTCTTTTTGTGGGTCAAAAAAGTTTGGGTAAGGGGAGGCTACCCTAGTAGGCTTACTTCAAGCGTCAAAGAATATGAACTGTGGATTTCACAGATTGTATAGAAAGGGGGACCGCTAGTAGCAGGAATGAATGTTAGCTTTCTACCTAGTACAACATAAGCCCTAGAGGCCTGTACTAATAGAAAAGAACAATAATAATCCCTTTGTTCAGTCAGCAAAAGAAATTTATGATAAAATACAAAAGAACAACGCTAGAAATCAAAGGAACAACCAACTAAATGGCACATAATATAATATTTCTGAGGCAAGAAAATCAAATCTGCAATCACTTCAATGTTTTTCAAGAAAATGGAAATTACAAGACACTTTCTTTATCTGGTTCTATGGTATAATCCAGACAGTTTACCAAGAGAAAGGAATCTTCAATTATTGATATATCTAATTCTGAAATCTGAAACCTCAAAAGGAAAAATATTTCATATATTATGGTTTTCATCTAAAGTGATACATTAAAAACAGTAATCGCCCAAAGTGAAAAAGTTTCCTGCTATCTTGAATGCCACCTGGTACTAAATACAACAGAGTAAATATCCAGTAAATGTGTGTCCTCACTATCGAACTTTACTTTTTAGTTGAGGTGGTATACATCATTCCATATGGTGTCAGTGTGTCACAGCACATGAAAGAAGTGAGAGCTACTCTCATATATCTCAACTCAAAACATATTATCTACCTGGTTCTTTGGTCTCCAGTGCTAGAACCACCCACCATACAAAGCCATTCTGCACAATGAATTGTAGCTTCAATATCCTGTTGAAGGAGAGTAATGAACAACTATGTAAATGAGCAGTTGGATTTGGAAATTGAAAAGGGGAATAGAGGATGCATGATTTATTAGTTAACAACAAAATATAAATTGTCAAAAATAAACTGCTTCAGTGTTATGTTCTCACGTCACGGGCAAGAAAACATAAGGAAAAATGAATAGAGAATCACGGTTGGAAAAGGAAGAGAAAAAAATACTGGGTTTGCTTGAGACCCAAAACTCCCTTAGACCTTTTTGGGGTTGAATTTCTCCTTCCCTTTCATTGAAATTGGTTCCCTTTTTATAAGGTAAAATACAACTCATAAAATGGCTAAATAAGCTAAGTAATCTGCTGAAATCTTCCAATTTACTTCTAAATAATTAAACTACCTAACTTAATTCAAAGACTAAGAATAAAAAGTTAAATAACTATTTATTAGTTTCTAAAAGTTACGAAAGTAAAGATAGAGTTTCTGAATGTGTTGTCATATACTGTCTTATAGAAAAGAGAATACAAAGCCCTATAAATAGGTGCTAGAAGACTACAAATAGGAAACCAAGTTTCCATATGTCCTACCTACCTAAATCCTTAAGACTACCTAATCTATAGAGATTCCAAATACTATATCTATATTCCATAACACTCCCCCCTCAAGTTGGAGCATAGATTTTAATCATGCCCAACTTGTTACACAAATAGGTGATAACCCAAAATAACTAAAAAACGAAATAACTCAAGTCCATTTAGAACACTCCCTTGAAACGAAAAATTTGAACGCCACCAATCCCATGAACAACAGGTGAACAAAAAGTGGCCGAACAAGCTTGAGATTGGACACTCCCCCTGCAACGAAAGCTTTGAACGCCACCAACACCACAACTCCGGGTGAACACAAAGTGGACCGAACAAGCTTAAACACACAAGGTAAAGAAGACAAACTCCAAACTGGAGAACACAATTTCTTTACTAGCAAAAGGGAAGCATCTTGACTAACAAAAGGGAAGCACGCTCCAAACGACGAGCATCAAAACGGAGAGACAGCACCTAAACAGGAGGAGAGACAACACCAAAACAAAGGAGAGACAACACCAAAACAAGACAGCACCAAAACACAAAACGGGACAGCACCAAAACACACAACGGACTCCATCCTTCTAGAGGTCAAGAACTTAGCGAGCCCTAGACGCAAGCCCCTCACCAATAACCCTCTTCGTCACAAGATTCCGAGGCAGCAGCAGCAACACAATCATACTCGGCTATACCCACCAAAACAGATCACAAAACCACACAAAAAGGGGAGCCTAAAGGGGTACGAAACAATCTGACCGTAGATTTTAAAAAAAAAAAAAAAAAAAAAAAAAAAAAAAAAAAAAACAATGGTCTAAACTAAGTCCAGAACCGAGGAGAGGGGACTCAGGCGACCCAAAAACAACCGACCAAAAAAATTTCCGATGGTCGAAAAGGCCCCACGTGCCGGCGCGTGAGAGAAGGGCGGCGGACGACGACGGCGCGTGGGGCTCACGCGCTGGTCAGATTGGACTCAAAACCTGCCGGCGAGGTTGACGGACGGCGGTGCTTCTCCCTAGGTGGTGACGACAGCAGAAGCCAAAAAAAAAAAAAAAAAATCCTTTATCGTAAAGGCTCAGATACCATGTTACGAAAGTAAAGAGAGAGTTTATGAATGTGTTGTCCTATACTGTCATATATTGTCTTATAGAAAAGAGAATACAAAGCCCTATAAATAGGTGCTAGAAGACTACGAATAGGAAACCAAGTTTCCATATGTCCTACCTACCTAAATCCCTTTCCATATGTCCTACCTACCTAAATCCCTTTCCATATGTCCTACCTACCTAAATCCCTAAGACGGCCTAATTTATAGAGATTCCAAATACTATATCTATATTCCATAACACTAAATAACTATTTAGTAATTTATTAATATCTAAACTATGTAATATACGGAGTAATAAAATAAGACTTCCTAAAAATCATGGCCCAGCATGTATCATTCAGCTTATTGATTTGTAGGTCAGATCCTAATTCAAAATCACAAACGCCCAAATATGGTATAATCACTAACTTTGAACCCAGCTTATCAAAAAGAATCTAGCCTACACTTGAGGGAGTGTTGAGGATTAATGTGTCCGCTCTCTAATATTTTAACCTTTTTAGAGTTTTAGTTGATATAGAACATAAAATAAGATAAGCTCAATTGATAACAGTGACAGTACACCATCCATTCAATAAAATTATAACTATATTGAGCGTAAAGAGATGAAACTGCTTCAAGTTCTAAGTGATTATTTTTTTGATAGGTTACACCAAGATACTCTGTGACCTATAGTTATTCTTAGTATAGTGCTAGCCCTGTATCTTAAATGATTAGTCAATTACAGCAGACTAAAATGTTTGAGGTCTAAAAGAGATTTCAAAAAAAAAAAAAAAAAAAATGCACCTGCCATCCATCCTTCTGGCGCATTGAATGCTCCAACATAATTATCAAAAAATTGTGTATAGCATCTTCAACATCTCTCAAGCTGGATGAAGAATTCTTACCCCCTCCTGTCTGTCAAAGAAGAAATAAATCAAATATATCATCAAAACAATGTCAGAATTCTGAAACTTCAGTAGGGAATTTAATGTCACCAAAAAGACAGTAGAACTTAACATTGTTAATTTCATAGATTATCATAACCACAAGAGAGAAGATAGAGAATAATAAAACTCAACATGAAATATAAAATAGATAATCATTATCTTACCTCATGATTTGATATAAGGATCTCCAAAATCCATTCAGGCCATTCATCCATCTTGGTCAGACTGTTTCTGTTTACAGCATGACTGCAAGCCAAAATCAAAAGATCCTGCACCAAAAAAAAAAAAAAAAAAAAAAAAAAGAACACCAAAAAAAAAAAAAACCAGCGTACTCTTATGCCCAGGAAAAATATAAAGACCAGTACTAGGAAACCAATGGCAATATTTACTGGGAGTCAAATATTTTTAATAAGTAATGCCTTATCAAAAGTATATTCAACACATGTTGCAAGAGCTTTGCATGGCCCCGATATCAATGTCAAGATACCCCAACGCAGCAGAGACCAAGCAACAAAAAATGATGCGTTAAAGTGTTAACATCAGTTAATAATTATGAAGCCACCAATTAGTACCTGTAGTGCTCGACCTTGCAAAATCTTTGGTGCATATGGAAGTGAACGTAAGAGAATCAGCAAAAGTTGTGTATGCTGAAATCGGTGTGAAGAGTCATAAAAGTTTAATCCTTCATCAGTCGAAGAAGCATTTAGCTGTAATAAAATGAAACAATGTCAGATTTATCAATTAAATATGATTGTTTGAACACAACAATACTATGCAATAGAATTAAATCGTGTCAGATTTATTCATTAAGTATAACTAAAGGGAATCATAATCAGTTTGTGCATATAAAGTATAGTAAAATCAGGAATTATTTGAACAACTTGTACCAAGCAAGTATAACATGAGCCATCAACAGTTCTGATGAAGAGGAAATCAATTTTCTAAAATTGGTCCAAGTGCAGAGAAGGTCCAAAGGAACCATCCTAAACACATCTGTAAATCTGTAATCACTAAAAGATCTATAAAGGGAACAAATTTCACTCCTTTGGTGACAAACTAGGAGCTTTACCACTATAAAAGTAAATTACTTCAATAAGTTAAAGTATTTACAGTTCACAGGTGAAATTTATCAGAAGATTGCTGCCAAATTTAAAGGGAGAACACATTAGCAAAGGAACTGTTAGACATTTCTTTCCAATAGGCCTTTATACATATTAGATCACCACAACCCAACCCCAAAAGAAGCACACAAACAAACAAATAAAATAGTTTCAATATCTCCAGCATTTCATATTTTCATTTTTAGAACATATGAACAAATGAATTTTGAAAATTCCAAATGGGAAGAGAGATAGCTTGTCAATGCGAACATCCTATGAAAGAGACTTATCCCCTTGTAATGGTATATATGAATAAATAATTAAATATGACTAGTTCACTAGAGAAAAGCTGCACAATATTCGCAGATTGGAATTCAAAAAAAAATCCTGCAACTGCCAAATATTTATCAAGGAAGCAACTAGAACAGAAGGATAATGGCAAGAGGCTAGCATATTCATACCGAGGCTCCCAATAAAGCTGTGTACGCACTGCTAGTCATAAGCCTATTTGGTGCTGCTTGGAAAGCCATTTGTATAGCAAAAAGTAGAAGGGAAACCTTATCATCAAACATAGTGCCTCCTCCCTCAAGCAAACCTAGTAGGTTGTTTGTCACATCTGGAGGTGCATGCGTATCAAATTTGAGATATCCTGATGAAACTAAAGCACCTAAGAGGTTGATAATCCCTAACACAATACCATCACACCTATCAACATTATATACATTATTCCTTGCATTTTCTGCACTTATTAGAAAGCTTATACCACCCAAGGTCTTTGAAAAAGCATTTTCACTGAATGACTGCGCCTTTCCAATATTAGACCTAGTTTGGAAAGTGGGGCTTGAATTGTTAAGATGCTCAGATTCAGATGTCCTTTCGTGTAAACTGTCTTCTCCTCTCATGCCTCCAGCATTGCCTACTTGACTACCTTCTGAAGCCTGGTCTTGACTATCTAGATCTGTTTTCTGGGTTGAGAAAGTGGTATCATTCTGAACAGAAGAGTCCAAATCATTATGATCTCCAGCCTTTGCTTCCCGTTGCAATAGGACAAGAAGTGTCTCTATACCACCACGCGATAGAAATGCTTCAGCAAATGACTGAGCCCTGGAAGTATTTGGTTGCACAACCAACCTATGAATGAGATGTAGGACCCGGGCAACCTGAAAGAATAAAATCATATAAGAAGATACCAAAAGGAACAAGTCCATTGCCAGGAGGGGGCATAACAAATATGTCAAGAGCCAGAAGTATTTAAGACAATGAGGGGCGTAGAGTGAATAATGCCAATAATCAATGTTGACAGCAAGTCATGCTACAAACACTTTAAAAGTAAAAGAAATTACCAGGACTACATGGTTTTACATTAAGGGTGTGTTTGGGAACCCGTAAAATGATTTCGGGTGTTTGGCAAGGAGGAAAATGTAAGGTCAATGGAAAACAAAGCCTTGGTCAATGGAAAACAAAGCCTAAGATTTTCAGGAAAACGACTTGCCCATTTTTTTGGGGGGAAGTCATTTTCCAACCTCTCCTTCTCCATAGTCCATCCGCCTCTCTACCCTCTCTCTTCCAAGACCACACTTGCTCTCACCTTCTTCTTGCTACATCAGGTGTTTCTTCTTCTCATCTTCTTGCCATCTTATCACCAAGGTATGTTTACTCTCTTTTTTTCAGTGGCAGATGTGGAAAGATCTTGCCATCTGAAATGGTTTCCGGCTGTGGGACAAAAACCCAGAGCTGGAAACTTCCGGAAACCAATCGGAGGCCGACTGGTTTCCACACTGATTTCCACCCCTATTTCGTTTGTGAATTCTAATCATGCTAATACAGACTAGAACTTGTGTACATTGTTTGTGAATTCTGCTCATTTTCTGGAAAATGAACCAAACACACAAAGACAGTTTTCTGCTGTGCAGCCAAACACAGGAAAGGAAAATGTTTTCTGGAAAATGAGTCATTTTCCAGAAGCCATTTTCCTGCTTTCCAAACGGACCCTAATCCTGATTTCGTATGCTTATAATTTCATACCATCTACTTCGGCTCAGAACACTGTGCAACTAAGCAGGGTTTTCTTTTAAATTTTGATAAATCAAATTTATTGAAAAGGCATATGCAGCCACATAGAAAAACAAAGCATACTATATATCAGAAAAATGAATAATACCCAATCCAAAAGGATTTTCATTTAAAATCTGTTCGAGAAAATAAGGGAGAAATAATATTCCCACTCCAAGAGTTTCCTTCATTGCTTCCCCCACTTCTGTTCTTTTCAAAGTTGATACACCATTACAATCACTTAAGGAAGCTATTACATGGCAAAAATGTCAGACCTAGTTCACAAGGCATCCATATTGTATAGGATTTGTGAAAGGAAGATATGCACAAACCATGCCTCAGTCTCAGAGAGGTTGCTTCCAAGACTATAATCTATTTAGCAGTCAATGGGTGAGAATATCCAGCAATTCTGACAAACTGGTTATGATACAAATAAAATGCCCCCAAGAAAAAGTAACAATTAAAAATTAAAAAAAAAAAAAAAAAAAAAAAGGATCCTATTGAGTATAACACTGATTAGCCTTCTGAAGATCAAGATGAAATCAGTCTTCAATAAACCAAACTAAGATCTATCTATATATAATTATGTTAAACATATAACTTGTTACCTGATTTGGTTGAGGGCAGTCTACCATAAAACCAAGCAAACAATGGACATCATCAGAGGCAAATGAAGGAGGAGAAGCCACAAGTAGAAGTTCAATAACAACCAAGAGTTCATCAACCAAAGCATTGACTTCCCCAACAGGACGTTTTTCCTCAAGTATGGAAAATGTATTAACAGAATCACTTTCATGAATAGTCCAATAGCATCTCCTGCAGCCATCTAGAAGCATCTGAATAGCATTAGCATCACGCATAACTGATAACTCCGTGAAGACCATATCTGCGAGGAAAGACAAAAACTTCTTCTGTAACCCATAACTGCATAAGCTCCAAATCTTCAGATCCAGCAGCAGCATACTGAAAAGCTGCACCTTGAGATTGTAATTATTTATCTGAGATTGGCATAAGGAGACAACTGCAGCAATGAGCTCCTCATCCCCTACTCCATCACGCTTCACATCATCAAGTGAAGATAAAGTTCGTAAAAGGTAGTTTAAGATTCTTGACAAGACTTCAGGTCCTCTTCTACGACTCAATTCTTCATTATTTCCACGATATTGAATAGCCAAAGAGATAATTCTGAAAATAGGAGCAGCTATAGCAGTAGTGGCCAGAGACAAAGAAAGGTCACCTTGCTGAGGTTCCAAGCTATTCTCATGCACATTGCTTATTGCCAGAGGAAGTAATGACATGGGACCTCCATAGGCCAAGGCCCATAGAGTTTCAGCAGGACGCATTCTTGTAGCAACGTGAACTTGTCCAAGAACCTCTGCAGGTCTTTGATGCATACCTAAAAAAATACAGTCATATGATTTTCTAAAATTATTGAGTGAAGAAACATGTGTGTGTGTGTGTGTGTGTGTAAATGCATGCACATATATTACATTATACAATTTTGCTTCTGTTCCATGTGAGAACAAATGAATAGTCAACTATTTCTTTAAAAAAATATCATTAGAAACAAATAAGCAATAAATAGATTAGAAAAAGACACAGTTCAAAAAAATGATCAAGATTAGTATTGAAAACTGTTGACAGCTCTAGAGAACAAGAGAGACAGGAAATAAAACTTTCAGAATTTTCTGCTCCACAAAAGTTTTACAGAATATGTTCTGAAGATCCTCAACCTACTTTTATAATTTCCAAGTATGACAAGCTTCTACGTATACACACATATGCAAGAAAGAGCATGAAGTATAAAATAAAAATAAAAATAAACCCATATGGACCAATATATACAGCCAAAGAGGGCAGACATCAAAAATTGATTTTCACTATTGCTGGGAGGGAAATTATCAAACCTAATGCACTGGATGGGGAAGCATCTGAACAGTAACGCCCAGTAAGCAAGCTAGGATGATAAAGGAGATGAAGGCATCCTCCAATTTCTTCATCCAAAAGAGAACTTTCCTCTGCCAGTCCATGACCAAAGGAAGGGAGCACATCCCCACCTCTTGAAGACAAACGTGCCATTCTCTCTGGTCCAATAGGTTCTTTGAAAATATATATAGGACCCAGCTCAGCAAATAAAGGGCACTGGCGGCGGCGCCGTTGTAAAGCAGCCATGGTTGGAGGAGGGTTAGTCCCAATACAGCAAAATGCAAGCGGCTTTGAGATTCGAGGGAAATCAAATGGACGACTTTCATACAAGGATCCATCTATATATAGCCTTAGCTCACTCTCAGCTTTTCCAAGGAGCCCTTGCTTACAAGTCTGTTCAAGGCCAAGAAAATACCAACACTGAGGCTTGAATGCATGAGTAAAATGAAAAGAGGCTTTCCTTCCTTTCCCACTGCTATATTCAACCACCAAGAACTGTGCATGGAAGTATGCTTCCATCCCTTGATTATCAGCAGATAAAAAGCTGAACAGCCTTGGCATGTGAGCTGTGCTTTCACCAGAAAGTGCACTGGCGGCGGCAGCAACAGACATAGCAGATGATTTCCCTGATGTGGCAGCTGCAGCAACAGCAGCAGCAACAGTTGCTGAATTCAAAGTGTCACCAAATGACTCAATGTAGATCCATGTAGCAAATGCATATCCATTGGTGAAAGGCCAGCGGTTCTCCCCTGGACCAAGCAAACCAGAACTTTCCCCATCAAACTCAAAGGTACATACCGGACCTGTTGACTCTTTCCCAGCCATGGCCTTCTCCAAAGAAAGCATCAAGTGAGAAGCCCATTCCGTGGCAATTGTTCTTGTTATTACTTCAAACCATCTATGCAGATCACTTAAACTAAGAGAATGCCCAGCTAAGTACTGAATGCAATAGCATAAAGGAGTTCCATCCCATCTTGATTGCTCTGTTTTAGAACTATCATGAAGGAAAATCTTCTCAGCTGAACACAGAAGGACTGCTAATAGACCAGCTGCAGAGCACATGGCACGATTTCGAGTGCAAGCACGCAAAATAGCAAGTAACCCTCTCACCATCCTAGTTCTTGGAGACATAAGACCCGCAATGTCCCCAATTGAAGAAAGCCAAGGAATGAGCTCAGCTGCTACAATGGCAGCCCTAGAGTTCAACATCACACTGGGTGGATTAGTATCCTCCTCTTCAAAAGACTCAACGCCTCCCATCGTGGCAAGAAGTGAATCAATTACCAAGAATGCAATAGCATCGGCATCCTCTCCATTCCCATAACTTTCAACACCACTCACAATATTCTTCAGCTTATCCAAGCTTTCAGGCTTTCCCATGATAGCAGAATCTACTAAATGCAAGAGCTCGGGTGACACATTTGGCACAACCTGTTTCTGCTTTGGCTTTTGTGGGGAGTCTGAAGGGGAGTTTCCAGCATCCCCATATGCATAATCATATATTGCAGCATCAAGAGAAGAAAATGATGGTCTATTGTCATCACCAGAAGGAGATAGTCTCTCAAGCCCAGGGCCTGAGAAATGGCATTCATGGTATGACTCAGCATCTGGAGGAGAATTACTCCCAGATTGAACTTTTCCAAATGAAAATTCGAAGTTACCCTCACTCCCACGTGATGAATGTCTCAGAGTATCAGATCTTGGAGACTGAGATTGATTAAATTCAGCCACACTTTTGTCATGATCTTTCAATGAAACATGTTCAAACATATCATCATTTAAAACTGATCCTGCAGACTCACCTCCATGTGAAACAACATTATTTTGCACAACATTTTCTCTCTCGAGTACCCCTACTCTTTCACCCCTCTCAAGGCCTTCTCTATATGATTCTACCTCTTTACCATGACTTTTACCATGCTCATTCGGGTCCTTATCTTCCATTCTATTATCTCTAATGCCTAACCTAATATAATCTTCATCAAAATCATTTACCAAAAATTATACCTGGAGAAAAAGGAGCAAAATACAATTTTTAGCATGCTGAGTGAACATGTACATCAAGTTCAAGCTAAAGTGCTAAACAAACATGCAAGATTGCAGCTAGTCAGAATTTCAACTTGGTGAGTCAAATGGAAGCACCCCAGGCCCAACCAACCATTTTATAAAATAAAAAATTCAAACTTTGTTATAAAAATCCAGCTAAAGGGACATGCATTTCATCAAAATTTATTTCCTTTTGCATACTACTTCAACTCACCATTCTAGATTTCCACAGCTAAAAACCATAAAAAGTAAAAAAGGAAAAATAATCTTGTAACTCAAGCAAAACAAACAAACAAAACAAAACAAAATGGAAAAGCAAACGAAAAAAAAAATAGAAAAAAAAAAAAAAAAAAAAAAAAAAAAAAAAAAAGAAAAACAGTAGTGAACTTAGTTCAAGTGATGAATAGATGAATAAAGGCAATGCTTTAAACCAATAGTTTGTTGTGGTTTTCAGAAACACGATCTCTTGGAGAATTAGCATTAAACATGAACAATTATCCTAAATCCACATTATGATTGAAAAAATAACTTTCTAAAATGTCAGAGTAAAGTTGAGCACTTGAGTAACAGATCCAGTAACTATAAACATATATTATATGAATAGAGACTCTCTGGTATCAAAAACAAAAAGGATTCATCACAGAAATACATAACATTTATATCACAACACACAAACGCCCATATGAGGATCGAAATGCGGGGGAATCAGAATGCAATCACTGCCATGTCGATCACGCATAATACAAATACATATACGTACCATGTACGTAGAAAGAGACGGCATTAATGATAGATTGTACCTTTTCTGGAATTTTGATCGGGAATTTTGTCGCTTTTTATATCAAACAAAAAAAATGGGGGAAAATTAAATAAAATGAAGAAAAATGAGATAGAACAGAACGAAGAGGCTTGCCGGAGAGGTGAGTGTCTCGAAATAGAAGGCGAGCTGAGCGCGAGATTGAAGGCGGAGATATTCTTAGCAGGCCTCTGTGGATGGGTCATTGTGAAGCCCAGTCGCTTAATCTATTACTAACTGTCTAGACAAATTATGCCTTATGGATTGTTATTACTAGTTTTCAATTCCCAATTGCCCAAATTGATAATGCTCCATGATTATTTTTAAATAAGTATTTTAAAGTATATTAGTGTAAAATTATATAGAATATGTTCATGCATAGATAATTGAATGTTGAATTTGTTTATTTAAATCAGCAATTCAATGTATATATAAATGCAAGATAATATGTGAGGTCGAGATTGATTATAATTGTCACTACTATAACTGTCTAAGCTAATAAAAGAGGCTACTTAAATAAATATGGAGATCTCCACAAAATCTGCCTGTTACCACCTCTGGATGAGCACCCAGCTGGGGATGCCCTGACTGCCAAGAAGATATTTTGAGGGGACTCGATACTCGGGCGAGGACACTCCGACCGCGGAACCTGGTCGCTTGACTGAGTTCCCGAGCGGTACCCGGTCGAGGACACACCGCCCACGGAGCCTGGTCGTCCGTCCGAATCCTGGGAGGCATTCAGTCGGAGACACACCGACTATCGAGACTGATCGCTCGTCCGCGCCTCATATCTGAGCTCAGCTGAGGACACGCCGACTGTCGAGTCCGGTCGCTCTACCTGAGTCGGTCGATCTCCGACTGAGTAGGCACATGCCCTCCTGGATGACCGGTCGCTTGAAGATGGTTGACTCCGGTCCCCAGGCGCCTTCCTTGACAAACGGTAATCACATGCTCATTTGCTAAGCTTCAAGCCATCTTGAATTTGACCGCCTCGCGGGGCACCCTTGACCGGTCGTCTGATTTGGGGTATCTATTAGTTAGTCTAAATATTTAGTCTAAAAGCGATAGTCTAAATAAATGTTACTTTTGGTTTAAATATCTTTAAATCTTCTTAATTATATTCCTTTTTAGGTAGAATTGTCATTATCTTCATCTTTAGTATTTGTCCTCTTATTTTTTATTGGTAATGTATTATGTGCAATTGAGTTACTGGTGGTAGCATAGAGGGCCGTGTCATGCAATTAGATTATGGTGTAGGAAGTTTTATATAATTGGATTTTAGTTGTACTATGAACTCTTTATCTTGCAAGCGTCTGTTGATATTTGACAATGATATTTTTTTCCCTACATGTTTTGTTGTGAGGTGTGTCGTAGATTATCATGTAAATGTATTGAACAAAATATTAATATTTATTACATTTGTATAAAATCCTTGGTAACCAAATATATAACATATTTTGTATTATAATTTGATATTTAATTACAAGATAGTGTTAAAAGAAGTCATTGGACAATGTAGTGAATATAATTAATCAATGGAGAATCTTTGGATTGTAACAAATAAAGATAATATAACTAATAAAATTATATCTCCTTTTAAATTTTTTTTATAATAAATAAAAAAAATTTGAATAAAGACATTATAGACATCTAATTTTAAATTAATTAAATGCATATGTATTATTTTTTGTTGGAGTTAATGAACAATTTGGTCCCTCAATTATTAGCGAACTGTCAATGTAGCCCCCCAATTGCTTATTTATCGATTTGGTCCACGAAAACAATTATTTTTAGTCGATTTAGTCCCTCGGGCCGTCTTCCATCGATGGCCGGAGGGACTAAATCGACTAAAAATAATTATTTTCGGGGACCAAATCCACGGCCGCAGGGACTAAATCGACTAAAAATAATTGTTTTCGGGGACCAAATTGATGAACAAGCGATTGATGGACTACATTGACAATTCGCTAATAATTGAGGGGCCAAATCGTTGATTAACTCTTTTTTGTTGTAGCTACTATTTATTTAATTTAATAGGAATAATAAAGTGAAGTACTTACTTTTCATCCACAACAATGAGGACATTAATTTTTATTTTTTTTTCATTCGTTGTTGAGACAAATTAGTTTCGGAGTTTGTTAATGAAAATTGTTACAATTGCTGTCAATAGATTATGATAACAAATAATTTGAAATATATGGTTACAATAGATATTGTTATAATAATATAGTAAAAATTAACTTACAAATCTATTTAGAAGTTTTCATGCACGGATAAAATTTTGAGAATGATGTGTAAACTTGTTCACTTGGAGTTAGTGCGATGTCAACATTGTCAATTCTTAGAAAAATGGTCATACCGTTTTAGAGTCCATTTGTAGTTGTATTTTTTATTAACAACTTTGTAGTTAGATTGTGCAGGTTTGACAATGATGTAAGAACAATTTTGTTCGACAAAAAAAAATAATACTCGGTAGTACTGTATCATTATAGAAATACATACAAAAAGAGTAAAAGACATTTTTGGTCCTAGATTTATAGTGGCACGGACAATTTTAGTCCTTTTTAAAAAAAATCAGACAATTTATGGACACTCTTATTGTAACAAGGACAATTTTGGTCATCCGTCAATATTTCCGTTAGATGTCCCGTTTGAGCAGGGATAATTGTGTCTTTTCAACAAGAGACCCATTTTCTCTCTGTTTCTCTCTATTCACGAAAACAACAACAACAATGGCAGTCACAATACCACCCATCCTCAACCTTCTTCTTCCTTGCCAACAACAAACAAGTTTAATCCACCAACAACCCCCATCTCCTCCTCTCTCTCGTCTCTCCCTCTTCTCAATGGAAAATCGATAGTAGCACAGCTCACCAACAGCTACAATACCCCACCGGCGGCGTCCTCTGGTTTTCCGGTGAAGCGGCGGGAGAAGTCCCTTTAGCAGCGACGACGGTCTTCCTCGACGACTGTCTCAATTAAGGAATCAGATTGGGAAAATCTAGCAGAAAAATAGAGGAAACTAACCTTGATTGGCAAGTTTTTGAAGGAGAAGCCCCCAATTGAAGGAATAAGGGCTCAATTTCAAAAAATCCTTCCAATTACAGGCATGGTGCACATCGGATCTCTTGATCGCCAGGCACCGAATCATGGGTCACGCCCACTACGATTTCAAGACCTGGGTGGAGACCAAATGTGCATCTTTCATTGACTTCCGGCTCGACACGCCGCCGCGTCCCCCCGCGGCAACTGAGGGCGGTGGCACGCCTCCCCCGTCGGCCCCCAAGGCAGAAGAAGCACCCCCAAGAAAGCAAGGAAGAAGGAGCGGCGGAGGAACAAAATCAATCACACGGAACAACTAATTCTTGAAGTGGGTTGGTGGTTCACATGTTGATGCCCAGCTTTTAGTAACTCATACACTTCCACCATCTCTCAAATGTTTTGTTTTGTTTTTTTTTTTTTTTATGTTCAAATATTGTTCTCTGGGTTGCTGTTCGATTTACATGGGCAGAGGAGGATGCCGGAGCTGTGCTTCTCTGATGAAGGAGAAAGAGGTATATTGTTGAAAAGACACAATTACCCCCGCTCAAACGGGACATCTAACGGGAATATTAACGGAGGACTAAAATTGTCCTCGTCACAATAAGAGTGTCCACAAATTGTCTGATTTTTTAAAAAAGGACTAAAATTGTCCGTGCCACTATAAGTCTAGGACCAAAAATGTCTTTTACTCCATACAAAAAATAGTACTATTATGATGACCTAAATTATTCCATTAATGCAAAAGTATAATTGAGTCTTGTTCTAAATAATCAAAAGAAGATTAATTAAACGAAACTAAAAAAAAAATAATAATAATAAAAATAAAAATAAAAACTTAACCTAAAATTTTTTTTAATGCAAGAAAATGATTTTTAAGGTTCCTGATTTATAATATTTGATGTTCAACTTTGAATGCTATGTATTTAGTCAGGCTAATTATTTGACTAAAGTTTATGTTAAATTTTAATTTATATTGTATTTTTAAATACATTTTAAATATTTGTAGTATATGTTTAACAATTATGTCAATTCTGATTGGGATGGGGTTCGAACCTAAGACATTTATTATAGAAGTTAATGAGTAAGTTAAGAATAATAAATAGTTAATGGAATATTCTGTTACTAAAGTTTATACTAACGGAATGCAGGGTTATTTAATAGAAGAAAATAATATGTATAATAGTGGGTAAACAAGAAAAATCATTAAAAAAAAATACTAAAATCGAAATAATATGAACCATTCATTTCAACAAACAATTACACAAACATTATTTGTTCTCGTTAAGGTCCTAACTTTATTGGCTCTTATTAGATTTGTATATATATAGAGTAGATAGTAGATGTTCACAATTTACATACTGAATGTTCACAATTTTTATATACTAGATGTTCACAATTCAAATTGTAAACGTTCAATATGTAAATTATGAACATTCAGTATATAAATTGTGTATTTTGACCCAGATCCACCTTGGCAGGTGGACCCGGGTCCATGACATAACTATCATTCTTTATCCTTTTAAATTTAATTTTTTTTTCTGTCAACTATCATGTAATGTGATGACATCTCGATTATCAGTCTAAATGAGTGATGGGGACTTAAATTTTTTGGGCTAAATATGTGAAAGTATAGAAGAGATACTACCTTATAAATAATCATGAGTACTTTAAAAAAAAAAATTTACAAATAAAATTAATATATATATAAATATATCATTAACAATTTTTAATTAAGATATATCAAATGAAACCCATATTGATATTTGTATTTTAATATTTTAAACTAACATATGATTATATTAAGTCACTACAGTTGTTTCTCACAAAAAAATATTAAGTTACTACGTTAGATTTATTTTTAATATATTATATGTCCATTTATAAAACTAGTTAATTTTTAAAATATTGTAAGTTCATTTTTACAAATGTGATGCAACTACAATATAATGATGGATCCCAAATAAATTCTTTAATAAAACATTGGAGGTTTATTTTTACAGTATTAATTGTAAAGACTAAAGAGTTAATACTCAATAGTTCTCAAAAAAATATTAATTATTCATTTTTACAATAATATGGAGTAATGTAATCTAATCTAATATAAAAACATAATAAGTGTGAATGGAGGTTATACCCTTTATTTATGTCCGTTTTTCTGTTAAGTTTTTTG